GGTGTTGCTGTATTTTTGTCCATACTAGTGTAATAAATTAACTCCATATTATACACAATCGCTTTAAAATTCATTTGGTGATATTTTAAAAGTTATTCAACCCCATTATTTGGGGGTGTACTAAATCGCACATATGTATGGTTATTATACTAATTCTTAGTAGATGTTTTCTGGTGTAAAACACCTTATTTAGCTACTTTTTGTGAGTAGCTTGTAACATAGGGTACAATTTTCAACAAAAGTGGAGTATTGTACATCCGCTCTTTACAGTTTCAAAATATCTCCCACAAGACTCCAGAGAAGTTGCATTACAAAAGGCCAAGTCACTGGTTTGCCGCCCTAACGACCATCGTCAGCAACAAGAAACCATCCCCCACGCTGCACACAATGGAGAACAATGACTGAAACTTCACAACCCTCACCCAAGATGACTTCTCAGAGACAGCTCTCAACATTTCAACCTTAAAACATTTGTGAATCACATAGGCTCTAGTCACTTAAATGTAGAGGATTCTTTTAAATCTACATCATTAACTGAAGACATGTGTAACTCTTTCTAAAAAATCCACAACAATACCTTCAAGCAGTATGTCTGACATGTCTACCACAGTAAACAAAAGTAAATCAAACCTATATCTAATTGCCAGAGAACATTTGCATTACTATGCCAGCAGTAGTTAGCATTTGATGTCTTATCCTAAGAACCAATCACTGTCCAGATAGCTAGTCAGGATTGTGTATATATTCTGGGCTCCTCAGAGAAGGTGCATGGCAGTCTTTGGTGTCTTGTGGAAGTGTTGACAAGTATGCAGTTTTTTGAAGGAGAAAACCAACTTTAAAATTTCTTTACTATTCTTACTAATCGTTTACCAGTCATCCATTTATCTATCTGTCTATCTTAACGGTATGTAGACATATTTCACCTGTGTTGTTCTTTTGAAAAACTTTTTCATCTTTCCATCCTGAAGACCAAAGCGAGAGGTAAGTTGAACATTTTTACCAATACCCCTTGTATGTTTTCATCAAGGCTGTTTGTAACTAAACTATCAAATTTAAATATAAACATGTACATATATATATATATATATATATAGTATTGTATAAGATAGTATATTCTGACTGTATCAGATTGTACAGATAGTTTGTTATTGTATATTGATTGCTTAGTGTGTAAATATTTTTACACCTATGTAGAATGTTACCTGTATATTGTATATAGGGTGTATATAGTATGAATATTATTTATACTAATACATAGAATTTTAACTGATTCTACTTTTATTGTATTTTATTCCTTACATTCCTATATACATATATGTACACAGAAAAAGTAGATAGCTTATATTGTTTTACAAAGTCACCCAAGTTATCATATTGTAAAACATTTCACTGGAAAATGAGAACCAGAAGGGTTTTTCCTAAAAAGGAAGCCTTGCAACTTCACTGCATCTGAGAAAGAAAAAGCCAAATTTCAGAAAGGATTCATCTACAAGGAGAAAGGTATTAGATCAGAACATAAGATTCTCTATTCAATACTGTATTTAACTACAACTTTCTTGGTTGCTAATGAATTATAAGGAAATGGAGCATTGTTAAGTGTGTGCATAGTATTATACACTATATATAGTTATATGTTGCCATGTAAGGAGCAACCTGAAAATGGTTTAAAGGCATAGCTTGATTTTGTGTTCAGATATGAGAACAATATTGATCTTGTCATTCAACTCTCAGCAAGTCAGTCAAGCTAAGCAGGCAACAATTAAAATAAGAAATACCCACTGCCATCATACATAGTGTACAATTTTGATGTGTATTATATAAATGTAGATACAAATCCAAACCCTTAGGGTGACATTGCATAAGATCCTCATCGAGTGTTAGAACTGCTGAGATAGTGTTGGTCGTTCATGGAATTTGATGACAGACAGACTGACAGATAATTCATTTATCAGTATAAAAATCACCACCAAAAACACTGAGCCAGGAGAATTCTTGCAGGAATATATTTGAAGACACATCACTGACTCCAAAGAAGGGGCCCGGTTCTGAGAGTGCTCCTTGTTATGGTACTAAAGAAGTCCTCAACGATTACACAGTGGCATTAAAGTACTATAAAACAAATGTCTGGGTTTGATAACAAACCGATTCTCTATTCCCTCAACAGCCCAGGACCTCCACATCCAGCATCTTCACCACCAAGATTGTCTGAGACCAGCCAGCCGGACAGCTGCTGCAAGAATCGTTTAGCATCCTCAAATAATTTCTGCACAAACTGTCAGGAACCATCTCAGGGAATCTCATCTGCATGCTCGTCATCCTCTTTGGGGTCTCGACCTGACTGCAGTTTGCCATCATAACCGACTTGAGTGGGCAAATGCTCACATACGATGGCGTCTGGCACTTTGGAGAGGTGTTCTCTTCATGGATGAATCCCAGTTTTCACTGTGCAGAGCAGATGACGTGTGTATGGCTTCGTGTGGGTGAGCGGTTTGTTGATGTCCTAGTTGTGGATCGAGTGGCCCATGGTGGCGGTGGGGTTATGGTATGGGCAGGCGTGTTTCATGGACAACAAACACAGGTGCATTTTATTGATGGCATTTTGAATGCATAGAGATACCATGACGAGATCCAGAGGCCCATTGTTGTGCCATTCATCCACAACCATCACCTCATGTTGCAGCATGATAATGCACGGCCCTATGTTGCAAGGATTACAATTCCTGGAAGCTGAAAACATCCCATTTCTTGCATGGCCAGCATACTCACCGGAGGAATTGGGGCAAAAACAAAAGTGTTGCGTTTATAATTTTGTTCAGTGTAAGAACACAGAAGAGGGTGGGCACATGAGGAACTTTCAGTTTAGGAGTTTGTGTGTGTCTTAGCTTAAAAGCACATTCAATAAAGTTTGCTTCAACATAGTTCTGTATATTTTGTACTGTTTTCTATTTGTGGTTGAACAACTTGTGTTATGAATAGCCATCCAACGTTGTGATGGTTCTGAGATGATCTATAGGTAACTCATCACTATTTCAATGGCTATTAAAATCACTAACACACATTTAAACTGTACATGCTAAAGAAAGAAGTTGAAAATATGAGATGTAAAAATCTATAAAGACAAATACCTGCCAAATATCAGTGTGAACTTAATGCAGCACTGGTTGTGTGTTCTCCAGTTGATGCAAACTCTAAGTTCCATTGTTACGATGCTGCACCATTTGACAGCCCTCAAATATGCTTCTCTATTCGCCAACAAATGTTTAACCCCACATTTCAAAAAGCTACAATGAGAACATTGCTGGTGACACTTTTCTAAAAAACAAAAACAACAACACTACAGCTTATATATTTGGTTTAGATTATAATTTTCGAATTGTCCATTTTGCTTATTTCATATTATTTGTAGTGTGTCTGAATGTCTCTGTGGACCTTTCTCTAAGGCTAAGAACAAATGTACTGCCGAAGCATTTTAGAAAGAATTTAAATTTTTCAGAGACAGGCTTCATTTAGCCCCTTAATTTCCACATCATAAAACCTAAACACGCACATATGAACTTGTTCATTTGTAGCTAAACTAACCTTTTCAACATTTCACACTTTAGTTTCGACATGATGTGATTTCAACTGTACAAAAGTAGCTCATCTCGGCCACACCTACTGACTACCAGTTATGCACAGCGTTCTAACTTTGACAGCTGTATTCAAAACTAACATAGCTATCCTTATTAGCTAGGCTCCTTACATGCTTGCTGATAACTTTTTTGAAGGTGGGTCTCCGACATTGACAACATTGTGTTGGATAGATTTGTGCAGCGGTGTTTAGGAAACTAACTATTCAATTGACAGACAGGTCTGTTGTCAATGTGTTTGCGAGCAACAACTTCCTAAATATAGATTTAGGACACATACAAACACTGGTCATGTATCATGATAATTAACAGCATTAAATCCATTGATTAAAAATGAAGAGATCTTGCAGCTGACCTTTGTATTCATTTTGTTTTTACTTTCACTTTTTGTGCTTTTAAAATACTCATTCTGCTGTCTACTGGGTAGTCTATCATTTTAGTAGTCTGAAGCTTGAAACAATTTAGGAATTTCACTAAAACTCAACCTTTGTATTTTGTTGAAAATAACTTTCTAACTAACACTCTGTAGTTAGTTTCTTCTCATAAGTATGATTAAATTTGCTTATTTATTTTTTTCTCACAAGTTGGAGTGTGATTATCGCTCCATGCTATCTAAGAGGGAACTTGTGTCATCATGTACAAGAGAACAGTGGACTCCTGTCGTTCCACACAGTACAAGTGTGGTCCCTTTTTCTGTAATTCAAATCAATAAATAAAATGCATTTCTGTAAGTGTAGACTAAGCACATAGATATGATGACAAAATGTATTGACATAAACTGGTCAGTTTAGTGTTTTAGGACTGAACAAGTTTAAAGCTGTAGTCAAAGTCTGATGTGAAATACTTTTTAACAATTAATTAAAACTGAATAGAAAGTATCTTACCTCTAATCATTTAATTTATAATTCAACTCTGGTTGTTTTTCTATTTTTGTTCCTTTTTTTGGAATCTAAAATCCATTTTACTCTCCAGGCCTTCAGTGTAGCCCTTTATTTTAATACATGTTGATCTTAAAACACAAGACATCCACTAAAACTCAGCCTGTATATTTTGTTAGAAAAAATTAAGAAATTGTGTTTCAAGTGACAGCTTTCTTTACTGAGTAGCTTGTATAATAGCCCCTCTACAGTCTGATAGACTCCCTGGGGCTGCAAGCCATTCACTCTATAGGGGAGTGTTAAGAACGACGTGTGTGAATGAGTCGTTAAAATCTTTGCTTGATCCACTAGAGGCACTGCTGAGTATGGACTTAAACACTCACACACCTGCAGGTCCCCTCTTGACAATAGTTTAAAAAATTTACCAGATGGTTTTAGACATGATTTTATCATGATTTAAAGCATGTCCAACAGGGGACCTAAAAAATGTCCCCTGTTCACTTTTTAGTCCCCTCTTAGTGGGTGTGTAACGACGTCGAGGTCCACTGTTAGATAGGTTGGTAAGTGCACACACACACACACACACAGAGATCCACCTCAGTAGTTGGATTATTTCCCCTCCAAGTTTAACAACAGATAAGGCAGCATCCAGCTGTGTTGCCATCCAACATATTTTAATACCACCGGTTTTCCCTCAAAGCACTGTCTCTCTAAAGACTCCAATCAGACTGTGAGGGCGTTCAGGATAATTCGGACGGTACCCTGCCCTTGAACCTGCCCTAGGGCCCGCCCTAAACTCCACTTTTCTGCTGTTTCCTGGATGTTCCGGAGACTCGAGCGGAGCACAGGTGAAGGAGCTGAGGTCCCCACAGCTCTGTAGGTGCAGCAGACCAGGCCTTCTCCTAAGAGGGCGAGGGAACGTATGGGAGGAACTGCCTGCCGGCTGCAGCTGGGGAGGTTTAGGCTGGCAGGAACCCTTCTCTGACTCAGTAAACACCTGAAAGCAAACAGTAAACAAATGTTCATGACACACAGAACAAAAATATAATTTATTAATTTTGATTTGATTATTTTGGAAGTTGTGGTGGCTTGATGCCAGCTAGACATTTAGGAAACCTGTGCATTAGTGTATATTTAATAAGCTTATGTATATTTTATTATACATATTAAGCTAAAGTATAGTTTATACCAGTTATGATTTCTGTGCAAAACATTCCATTTCAGGAGAGTGACAAGAGACTCACCAGAATTGAACTTGTGTTTTGTTAGAAAAGGAAATACCATATAAATGAGGCAAATTATGAAAATGGTATATACAGCTGTTTGGCAGAAACATACTGCAGATAAAGCAAACAAAGCCGGGAAATGTTTAGGTCAATTTGACGTTAGGTGAACTTTAGGCTGACCGAGTTTGGCAGGAACACAATCCTTTCTGTGTGACACATGAACATTTGGATATTGTCCACCATACAGCACGGTATGACTTTGAAAACAGCATATCCATTTTCATTTTAATATGGTAAAAGAATGCCAATACAGGTCTGTGGAAATTAAAATGCTAACTGGATTATTGCATTTAAAATCTTACCCAAATAACACACAAAATTCTAACATTATTGTGGCATTACTTTTTATTTTCTAAGTTTACATTTAAGTTTATCATTTTAATATTGTCACTTGAGTCGGTGTGTACATATGCAAAAACAATGTCGGACACCGTAGTTTTCTCTGGACCCCTGCCAAATCTGACCAGTGATGACATGTATAGCCGCATGTCGTCATTCCGCCGCTGGTTGTTGAGGTGGTGTCCAGCAAACGTGACATGGACAGTTCACACTGAAGCCTGATATGGGCCACATTTATGTAATAACATAGAACAACATATATCCACGAGTAAAATTAAGTAAAATCTTGTTTTGAGTCCCTTATCCCTTAACAAATTAAATATCTTAATAGAAAAATTAAGTGCTAATTCATTCATTATTTAAATGAATTAAAATATTTACTGAACATTTGTTATATTGTTGGGAAATTATATCGCGATCATTATCATTTTTGTCTTATTGCCCAGCCCTAGCATGAGTTCACCCTGACAAACGGACATGATCAGTTCACCAAAAACATGAGCATGATCAATGATCGGGACAGTTTGAGCATGTTTTTACTAACTAATTTCAAATCATCATGTAAACTTGATAATGTAATCCCACAATAACATCATTTTCCAAATATGTATGTGTTATTTAGGTAAAAATTAAAATAAAAATGCAATCATCCAATTTTCATTTTCACGTACTTGTGTGGGCATTCAAGGACCATATTAAAATGAAAATGGAAACAGCATTTGACAATTCATTTTCAAAGACTTACTCTGCTGGACAGCAGACCTTATTCAAATGCAATAAGTGAAACAGTGCCCTTAGTCTTTTGCACTGCATTTTCATTTACAAGCAGCTTTCCAAGGGACACAATGCAAATGAGAATGTAATCTGTCAGTCCTTCCATCAAGGCGGGTCTTCATTTTCATTGCTCTGAGATAACTGTTGTTGTGATGTGTGCATCTTTTTTCTATTATTGGACTATAACCCCGAAAATTTATAGGTTACCAAATCCTAAATCAGAAAACTCTCCAACAATGATTTTTGTATCAGATGCTTTAAATGTTTCCATATGAACTCCAACCTGTTCTATGTAACTAGCACAGCGTACAGCCTCCTCCATGTGCTCCTGATCTGACTGCAGGACATTTCTTATGCTGTCCACCAGCTCCTGGACCTCGGGGGCCAGGCCCTGGGTTGCTGGCTGCTCCAGGATTTTCCTGACCAGCTGCTGTGTGTGTCGGTAGCTCTGGTAGTCCACCATGGAGGAGGGCCGAGGCCGGCACGGCGTCCTGCTGTCGTTGCCCCGTCGCAGTGTGACATGCCCATGAGTGTGGGGGGCCAGCGTGGGCTGGGAGGTCTGGGTGGAAGAATCTGTGGTCTGAGGAGACAGTGCGAGGGGAGCGTCGCTGCTGTGCTGCACTACAGCAGACATCAGAGGGGAAGAAGATGGTTCACGTTCTTCAATTATCCATATATCCATATACAAGTGCTCCTAGTGTGAAACAGAGTGCTAGTGGATCAATTTACCAGATGAAAAAAAAATGAAGATATTTGTTATTGCTTTTTCATTGCCGTAAAAAGGCAACCTTCATTAAATCATGTGCTAACGACACCAGCAGCTACAGAATAACCACAAACACCTACACACACATCAGAGGGTTCCGTCAGAAATCTGTTTACTGCATGTGGGAGGAGCTAATTATTATTTTAGAAAAATGTTTTTTCTTGATTATAGTGAAATACTGCTGTATCTCATCATTTGTCATGTGACTATCCCACAACGTGAGATACAGTAGAATTATGATTGACAGTCTTACAATTTAATCATTGTATTAATTAACTGATTAATTTGTGGTGCTGAATGTTTACGACATGATTTCCAGGATAAACTCTCTCTATTTGTTGAGTTATTGTTGTCATGCTTCACTGATATTGGCTTAGGGTGATGTGACTGGCTGGGAGAGTATGTATGTATTTATCACCACCCTCTACAATCCACCGCATGCAGCCCTCTTGCACATACAGTACCAGTCAAAAGTTTGGATGCACACTCTAATTCAAGTGAATGGGAAGGTATATCCAAACTTTTGACTGGTACTGTACATGCACTAAAACAGCAGGTGGAGATGCCCCCACAGACTGTGCGACCAATAACGACCATGTTTCACTGGTCCATGCACTAAAATAGGGCCCATTAAGTCCATTAGAATTTATTTAAATACACATAATACACAAATGGAGCGCCACATTTTATTTGAATACATTTGGAGCATTTAGGACCCACACTTGGCTTTTAGATACTGCACTGACTAAATCTCATAGGCTGACTGTAGAGTTTTGATAGATGACTTGATAATGATGACTTTTTGAATTAAATTGTTTATTTATGTGCTGATTATATCTGTAAGCTAAATTGTGATTGGTGTGTCACAATTGTCTGATATCGCACACTGGTGTACCAATTCCAAAGATAGCATAGTTCCACATGAGCAAAAAAAGCCAACCTTTAGCAGCAAGGTCCATCAACACTGGGTCACTGTTGGAGCGGTAGATCTTTGCTGTCCTCCAGGGGGTCAGTGCTGGAGCTTGTTGCTGCTGCTGCTGAGGAGGCTGCTGCTGAGGAGGCTTGGGCTTGGCCTGCAGAAGGACGCTTGGAGATGCCAGTCCTATTAGGGCACTCGTGTCTAAGACCAAATACAGATAGACATGGGCTATTAGAACAAAAGGCAGTGTCTAATATTAATTTTTACTCAAACACAGACTGACAGAATACGGAGGGATGCTCCAGTCCAAATGTTTTGGTCCAGAGAAATGTGTCACACATTCCCATAGATGTTTAAAGTTTTGGGTCGCCTGCCTTTACATGCAAATGATTTAAAAAAAACAACTTGATGGGAAAATGTGCGTCCTGTCAGTAAACTCTGAACCTTGCATACACACATAAAGAAGAGAAATGAGAAATGGCGACTCACATGGCAGAAGGATGTTTGTTTATTCAGAAAGGTTTTAAGCCTATAATAGACTAGTTTTAATTTACACAATAGTAGGCCTATTCATTTCAAACGTTTCATTCGTGTCCTACCTTGAACACAGGCTCCTGGTGTAGAGGTAGTTGGGTTCATAGTCAACTCTGTCATGGGAATCTCTGTCTCCTGAAATAAACCATCACACTGGTGTAGTTATATCAATTTGTCAAAAAATGCTGAGTTGTTATTTAGTAATAATTTATTAATTAATTAGTTTATTGTATATCCTGCTCGGTCCTGAGTTAGCCTGTGGTAGCCGTCGCCCGGCATCCCCTGTGCAGCCAGGAAAGGGGGGGGGCTGGGTGACTGTCCGAAGGAGGAATAGTCAAAAGCATTCAAAGTCCACGGGGCACCATCAACCTGTTCACGTCTCTAACAGATTTTCCCCACTCAGCAACACACCCGCTGAGAAACCAACTCTGATCATTGGCAGCTCCATTTTGAGAAACGTGAAGTTTGCGAAGCCAGCGGCCATAGTTAAGTGCATCCCTGGGGCCAGAGCGGGCGACATTGAGTCTTATTTGAAACTGCTGGCTAAGGATAAACGTAAATACAGTAAGATTGTCACTCACGTCGGCGGTAATGACTCCCGGTTACGCCAATCGTAGGTCACTAAGATTAATGTTGAGTCGGTGTGTACATATGCAAAAACAATGTCGGAAACCGTAGTTTTCTCTGGACCCCTGCCAAATCTGACCAGTGATGACATGTATAGCCGCATGTCGTCATTCCGCCGCTGGTTGTTGAGGTGGTGTCCAGCAAACGATGTGGGCTTTGTTGATCATTGGCAGACTTTCTGGGGAAGACCTGGTCTGATCCGGAGAGACGGCATCCATCCCACTTGGGAAGGAGCAGCTCTCATTTCTAGAAATCTGGCCAAGTTTATTAGTGGACCAAATCCATGACAACCCAGAGTTGAGACCAGGAGGCAGAGTCGCAGTTTAACACACTTCTCTGCTCCTCCATTTCAGGAGTTACTTAGTGAAAATCCTATAGTGACGGTGTCTGTCCCCCGAACATCGAAATTATTTAAAAAGGTAAACAGAAGAGGAGCTGTACATAAAAACCTCATAAAAATTAAAACCACAAGAGCAATAGTGCAAACGAATAGGAGAGTTAAATGTGGACTCTTAAACATCAGATCTCTCTCTTCTAAAGGTGTACTAGTAAATGAACTAATATCAGATTATGATATTGATTTATTTGGTCTTATTGAAACCTGGCTGGGTGATGGAGAATATGTTAGCCTAAATGAATCCACCCCTCCCAGTCATATTAATACTCACATTCCTTGAGGCACAGGCCGAGGAGGTGGAGTTGCAGCTATCTTTGACTCTAGCCTACTAATCAGCTCTAAACCTAAACTAAACTATAACTCATTTGAAAGCCTTGTTCTTAGTCTTTCGCACCCAAGTTGGAAATCACTGCAACCAATTCTTTTTGTTATAGTGTACCGAGCACCTGGCCCGTACTCTGAATTCTTATCTGAATTTGCAGAGTTTTTGTCAACTTTAGTCCTTAAAACGGACAAAGATTGTAGTGATTGTAGGGGATTTTAATATTCATGTGGATGTTGAGAATGACAGCTTCAGTACTGCGTTTATCTCTTTGTTAGATTCCATCGGCTTCTCTCAGAGTGTTCATGAACCGACTCACTGTTTTAACCACACCCTTGACTTTGTTTTGGTGTATGATATTGATATTGAACATTTAATAGTGTTGCCACAGAATCCCTCTTTATCCGACCACTGTTTGATAACTTTTGAGTTTGTATTGCTGAACTACAAGATGTCTGTCTGATAGCGCTGTAGCTAAATTAAAGGATGCGATTCCATCAGCTCTAAATACATTATCAAGTCACAAAGTAACGGAGTACTCCTATGCTAATTTCAGTCCCTCCCAAATCCATCATCTTGTTGATAGTGCTGCAGGCTCACTGTGAATGACACTCGACTCTGTAGCCCCTCTAAAAAATAAAATAATGAAACAAAGACGGTTAGCTCCATGGTATAATACTGAAACTCGCAAATTAAAGCAAATATCGCGGAAACTTGAGAGGAATTGGCGTTCCACCAAACTGGAAAATTCTCGTTTAATTAGGCAAGATAGTCTTAAAACTTAGAGGAAGGCCCTCCGTAATGCGAGAGCAGCGTAATACTCGGCACTGTAGCCAGGCTGACAGAGTCACAGCTCTATTGAGCCAAGTATTCCCATAGCTCTCAGTAGTTACGACTTCTTGAGCTTCTTTAATGATAAACATGAGTCCTCCATGCATGCCAAAGTTACTCATGGAGTTCCTCAAGGATCTGTCCTTGGACCAATCCTCTTCACTTTATATATGCTTCCTTTAGGCAATATTATCAGGAAATATTCCATAAGCTTTCATTGTTATGCAGATGATACTCAGTTATATCTATCGATCAAGCCAGATGAAACTCATCAGTTAGCTAAACTTCAAATGTGCCTTCAGGATGGTAAAACCTGGATGACCTGTAATTTTGTAATGTTAAACTCAGATAAAACTGAAGTTATTGTTCTGGGGCCTAAGCACCTCCGTGACGCATTATCTAAAGATATAGTTTCCCTTGATGGCATCGCCCTGGCCTCCAGCACCACTGTGAGGAATCTTGGAGTTATCTTTGATCAGGACATGTCGTTTAAGTCTCACATTAAGCAAATTTCAAGGACCGCCTTTTTTCACCTACGTAATATTGCGTAATTTAGGAACATCCTGTCTAAAAATGATGCAGCTAAACTAGTCCATGCATTTGTTACTTCTAGGCTGGATTACTGCAATTCCTTATTATCAGGCTGCTCGAAAAAGTCCATTAAGACTCTTCAGCTGATCCAGAATGCTGCAGCACGTGTTCTGACAGGAACCAGGAAAAGAGATCACATTTCTCCTGTTTTAGCTTCTTTGCATTGGCTTCCAGTAAAATCCAGAATAGAATTTAAAATCATTCTTCTTACCTACAAAGCTCTTAATGGTCAGGCACCATCTTATCTTAAAGAGCTCATAGTACCTTACTACCCCACCAGAGCACTGCGCTCCCAGAATGCAGGGTTACTTGTGTTCCTAGAGTCTCCAAAAGTAGACTAGGAGCCAGAGCGTTCAGCTATCAAGCTCCTCTCCTGTGGAACCAGGTTCCAGTTTGGGTTCAGGAGGCAGACACCATCTCCACATTTAAGAGTAGGCTTAAGACTTTCCTCTTTGATAAAGCTTATAGTTAGGGCTGGCTCAGGTGAGTCCTGAACCATCCCTTAGTTATGCTGCTATAGGCCTAGACTGCCGGGGGATTTCCCATGATGCACTGAGATCCTCTCTCCTCTACTTTCTCTTCCTCTGTATGCAACCTCATCCCATTATTGCATGTTACTAACACAACTTCTCCCCTTTCTGGTAGTCTTGTGCTTTCTCGTCTCTCTCCTCTCTCCTATCACTTCCTGCAGGTTTTCTGGCTCTGGAGCTGTGGAGTCTGGATCTGTGGCTGCGGGTCACCTGCTGCCCCCGTGTTCCTGCTCGACACCCTCTGCTGCAACAACTATTGTTGCTAGTCTTATTGTTATTATTGTTAGTATAATCATTAACATTACGACTGTTATCATTAACACTACTATAAATATCTGTACAATTTTTCATTTAGTCTATAGCAACATCACCTTTACTGTCTGTACCTCTGTGTGTATATTGTGTAGGCTGCCTCCCTCCCCTCTCTCCATCCATCCCTCTTTTCTCTCTCTCTCTCTCTCTCTCTCACCCCAACTGGTCGAGGCAGATGGCCGCCCACCCTGAGCCATGGTTCTGCTCGAGGTTTCTGCCGCTTAAAAGGAAGTTTTTCCTTGCCTCTGTCGCCTACTGCTGCTCTTGGTGGGAACTGTTGGGCTTCTGTAAATAGCATCATAGAGTACGGTCTAGACCTGCTCTTTTATGAAAAGCGCTGTGAGATAACTGTTGTTGTGATTTGGCGCTATATAAATAAAATTGAATTGAAATTGAATTGAAATATTTGGACAGTACCTGTGTGACTGCTTCAGTGGTGCTTCCTGCAACAGCCTCATATGGAGGTGGGGGCTCTAACGGACACAAGACCTCCACCCCTTTAATGCGATCCCCGTAGATATGAGGGAGAGGGATCACGCTGTCCCCAAGCATCCTGAAACGCACAGGTCAAACAACAAAGCAAGCGAGTTATCATGTTCCACCAAGCTAAAGTGACACATAGGACTGAAGTCATGTGTTAATCCAAATGCACAGAACACTGAGAGAAACTGTGTGCGGGGGAGGGGCGGGGGGGGGTTACCGGTGAGCCAGGCGTGGTGTGTATGAGTAGAAAGTGGAGAAGTAGGAGGGGGGAGGAGCTGGGGCCACAAACTCATCTAGGTGTGGGACCTGAGCAGGCTCCTCCCTTTCTTCCACTGTGGCTCTGGGCTCGTCCTATCACAGAGCAGGGACACGGGGCATAACACATCATGTTGAATGCTATTGTCTCAGATGCACTTCTTTAGGCACACAGGGTAACTGTCTGCATCAGGTCATGATGTGCCAAGCTGTCATAGAAGGACAAAAGAAACTATCTGTGCTCTTAAAAGCTGAGGTTCAAGCTTGTTTCAGTTATTTGCTTTCTTTCTGGGAATGAGATATGAAGATGTCTACTGTCTGTGTACCAGGTCCAGCTCCTAACTTCATATAAAACCACATAATGTAAATGGTCTGTCTGCCTTTCTAGTCTTTGCAACCACTCAAAGCGCTTTACACTAAATCACATTCACCCATTTCAAGATTCAAAGTGTTTATTGTCAGATGTTCAAGTTTCCCTGTACACTGAAATTCTTTGCTGTCCACATCGAAAGCCTACAATAAAAATTAATATATGTATGAATAAAAATACAATAAAAATACTATAGTTTTAAATTTTCACATCTAAAAATGTAAGCATCAGATGTAAAAAAAAAAAAATATATATATATATAAACAGCATAACGCAGCAGTTGTGTGAAAAACAGGCTGCAGTAGGCTATATACTGTACAATTGTGCAGGCGGATGAATTACATACATGTGGAAACTGTGCATGGAACAGTGTGCAGATGTGCAATAACCGTACATGTGCATTAACATGTGCATGGTACAATGTAAACATGGACATCATTATGGAATCCATACACCTATTAACTGTTTAGAAGTCTGATGGCAGTGGGGAAGAAAGAGTTCTTTAGTCTTGAAGTCCTAAATTTCACACTTCTATACCTCTGACCCGAGGGTAGAAGTGTGAACAGTTCACGTTGGGGGTGGGTGGGATCCTTGATAATTGAGGCAGCTCTTCTGTGGACCCTGTGATGGTAAGTGCTCTGCAGGGAGGGTAGTGGAGTCCATGCCCTCATGCACACTTGGGGCCCAAGAGATAATGTTTACATTTCAGATATTGACACCATGTATAACCAATAAAATGCACGCTGATGTTTATTTTTTTTATTTATAACATTGGTCAAGCCACCAGTGGGGAAAGCATGTGACAACCCACCCATAACGTTAGTCATCTAATAACCAAGTACTGTATCAAGTAGACTGTGGCAATAGTTATGGTTCAAATGAGAGAGAGAAGTTGTTGTAGTAAACAGACTCAAAACAGAGAAGAAGAGGAGAGGGAGGAGTTTTTATTGAGACGTACCATCTGTTCAAAAAGGTGATCAGGGTGAAGAAGTTGTGGAAGATTAGGAGCAAGCAAACCAGAGACCGGAGGAGGCTAATGTTTGCAGCGCACCCATTTGGAGCACAGCACAATCTGAGGCTAGCTGTAGCAGCAGCAGCAGCGCACAGTGGATTTATCAGGTGTCTGACCTGGTGTTGTGGGGGGCAATCAATGAAGATGCTCAATATATGATGGAGGATGCGTACAGGGGTTGATGTCTACATCCCCACCACAGGAACCAACATGCTGGACCACGTCTACACCAGTCTTCCTGGCAGCTACAAAGCCCTCCTCCATCCGCATTTTGGTTAATCAGACCATATTGCTTCTTCAGCCCACTTACACCCAGCTGATTAAAAGTTGCACGGCGGCCGGAGGGCGTGCTGGGCATGGCGGATGTTGGCTGGCACGGGAGAGCACTGGTCTATGTTGTGTGCGCGCCGCGGTCAGTCAGGGTGCTGCTCTTCCGCGGGTTACGCTTCTTGCGTTCGGTCGGCATGATGTTGTCAACTGGCATTTGGGTCTCTGCATCACGGTGCACCTGGGAGTTTTTTTTTTGATTGATTTATTCTTTTTCTTTCTCCCACCCCTATTGGCTACTGGGGTTCTTGCCTACCTGTTGCTGGGGTAAGTGTGGCACAGTCGTGGCGTCCCACTCTTACTAACAACTATTTTTTAACAGGCTTATGTGCACACACATGTACACACACACACACACACACACACACACACTCACCCACAGGCACACAGTCTCACACATAGACACAAACAAATTTAGGTTGTCCCTGGTAGAATTATTCCTGACGCTTTTCTTTCAGTTACTTATTTAAATTAATTGCTATTATTCCAGCTCTCGTGGCTGTGCTGTGTTGCTTATTTAATGTGCTGTTCGGCTGGTTGTCTTTTACTATTTTTTAATTTTTTTTATTGTTTGTTTGTGTTTGTTTGTTGTTGTTGTTTTCCTCCTCCCCAAGCCCCCCTCCCAGTTCTACTGCAGGTTTCGTTGCTTTCTGCAATTGGTGTTTCCCACTGCTTTTCCCTGTTGTCCCCACCTTCCATCCCCCTTCCCCCCTTCTCTTACAGGTCTTGTCCTTTCTCCATGCTGTCTGTTTGTGCCCCCTGTCTGGCCCGGTGACAAATCACTACATAATTAAATAAATAATAAAATAGACAAAGACTGTCTCCCTAGAAATTCTAAGAGACTGCCTTGCAAGCTATCAGAGAGCTGTAAAAATTGCTAAAACTAAATTTATATCCAACATTGTCTCCAACAATAATCATAGGCCCCAGGTTCTTTTCACAAATCTAAACTCCCTTCTTAATGCAGCTCAAATTGTGCCCACACTTACATTATGCGAAGATTTTTAAAACATTTTTTTTTGGAAAGATTTATGTGCTTAGATCTTTACCAACCTCCTCTGCCATAGACCCTTCATTTCCTCCTATATACTTAGCTGTTTTTAAGCAGTTTGAGCCTGTATCACTCTCCTCACCATCTAAGATAGTTCAGAGTCTGCGGCCTACAAATTGTCCCTCAGATATCCCTCTTGTCTTCTAAAGGACGTTTTTAATACTGTTGGGTCCAGCATTCTTATTTTAATAAATACATGTCTGAGCACATGGTGTGTCCCAGCTGCTGTAGTGCAGCCTGGTTTAATCTGATCTGGATCATGACGTTTTCTCTAACTTCAGGCCTATTTCCAAACTACCTTTTCTCTCAAAAGTGTTGGAAAGAATAGTCCTGAACCAATTACAAACATTCCTCGACAACCATGGCATCCAGGGGAAGTTCCAGTCTGGCTTTAAACCACGTCATAGTACAGAAACAGCACTTTTAAGGGTTTTTAATGATCTCCTTTTAATGGTGGACTCCGGCAACTCTGCTGTTCTGGTGCTTCTAGACCTGACTGCCGCCTTTGACACTGTGGATCACACAATCCTTTTATTTCGCCTTGAACACTGTGTAGGTATCAAAGGTATTGCCTTGAAATAGTTTCAGTCACACCTGACTGATAGGAGCTTCTCTGTTCATTTGGCTGAACACTTGTCAGCTGCTCCTCTCACCTGCGGGGTCCCTCAAGGCTCTATTTTGGGCCCTATCCTCTTTTCACTGTATATGCTGCCACTGGGTTCCATTTTCCAGAAACATAACATCTCCTATCACTGTTTTGCTGATGATGTCCAAATCTACTTGCCTATGAAATCCATAACCAAAGAGTCTGTGCAACCATTGTTAGACTGCTTAAAGGAGGTAAAAACCTGGATGGAGTTAAACTTCCTCACTCTGAATGAAAATAAAACAGAGATCACCACATGTGGACGTTTAGACATACTGGGTGACCCTCCTGGCACTTTGGGCCCCTTAGCCTCCCAAAATTGATCCTCGATTAAAAATCTTGGTGTTATTTTTGACAGCTCATTAACGTTCAGTAAGCAAATCAGTGCAGTCGTCAAGACCAACTTCTCCAGTTAAGACTTCTAGCTAAAATAAAGGCATATCTTTCTCCCAAAGACCTTGAAAAAGTCATCCATGCTTTTATTACTGTAATTCATTATACATGGGTCTAAATCAGAAATCTTTAAATCGCCTCCAGTTAGTCCAAAATGCAGCTGCTCGCCTTTCAACAAAAACAAAAAAGTGTGAACACATAACGCTTGTCTTGGCCTCCCTCCACTGGCTACCTGTCTGTTATAGGATAGATTAAGATTTTATAGCTTGTTTTTAAGGCCTTAAATGGTCTGGCGCACCCTTATCTAGCTGATCTCTTACGCCACCATTCTCCAGTAAGAACACTGGAGGTCAACAAATCAGCTGCTCCTGGATGTCCCAAAATCAAAGCTTAAAAATAAGGACGACCGAGCCTTTGCAGTGGGTGCCCCCATCCTATGGAACAAACTCCCCATGCATATTAAAGCTGCACAGACCCTTCAAACGTTTAAATCGCTGCTGAAGACTCACCTATTTACAATAGTGTTTAACCTTCGTTAACCTCTTTTCTGATGTTTTAAAGTGTTGTTGTTTTGTTTCACTTTGGTTGTAGTAATTTTGATACTTGTCATCGACCCTGTTCAGCACTTAGGTCAACTGTTTTATATGTGCTATAGAAATAAAATTGACAATCAGTGAATATGATAAATCAGATGAGCCTGAACATTCCTGGCCGTGTACTAAAAACCTGAGCTAGTTACATCAGCTAGTTGATATTACTGACATTTTCAACATCTCACTGTCTCCGGAGAGGGTTCCTTCAGGCTTCAAGACAGCCACCATCGTTCCTGTACCTAAAAAGTCTGCAGTGTCTACTCTGAATGACTACCGCTGTGGCACTCACCCCATTCTGATGAAGTGCTTTGAGAAACTGGTTCTTCAGCACATAAAGACCAACATCCCAGCCAGCCTGGACCCACACCAGTTTGCTTTCAGACCAACAGATCCACAGAGGACGTCATCTCCACTGCCCTCCACTCAGCCCTCACACACCTTGAGAAAAACAACACCTACATCAGAATGCTGTTTGTGGATTTCAGCTCAGTATTCAACACGATCTCCCCATGAAACTTATCGGCAAACTCAGCACTCTGGTTTAAATACAACACTCTGCAGCTGGATACTGGACTTCCTCAGAAACAGACCCCAGTCAGTTCAGATTGGCAGACTCACCTCCTCCACTCTAGTGCTCAACACCGGAGCCCCCAGGGCTGTGTGCTCAGCCCCTCCTGTTCACGCTGTACACCCATGACTTTATCCCCCAACATGGAGAGAACTGTTGTGAAGTTTGCAGGTGACACCACCATCATCGGCCGGATTTCAAACATCGATGGGAGGAAATTCATAATCTTGCTGGTGGTGCTCAGAGAACAACCAACTGCTCAAACTAAGGAGCTGATCGTTGATTTCAGGAAGAAGGAGATAAAGACACACACTCCTGTCTACATCAGTGGAGCTGAGGTGCAGCAGGTGAACAGTTTCAGGTTCCTGGGAATCAGCATCACAGAGAACCTGACATGGTCGTCTCACATCTTCACGCTGGTGAAGAAAGCTCAGAAACAACTGGATTTCTTGAGAAAGCTTAAGAAGGCCAAATTCCCGCGCCAAGTTCCTGTAGAAAGCATCCTGACTGGAAACATCACTAACATGGGATGTGCACGGCCCAGGACCGGAGGCTCTGCAGCGGGTGATTCAAACTGTTCAGAAGATCATTGGTACCCATCTCCTGAACATCAGTCATATCGGTGAGGTGAGGTGCCTGCAGAGCCCAAAGGATACTAAAGGACAGCACCCACCCAGCCACAGCCTGTTCACCCTGCTGCATTCTGGGAAGAGATATAGAAGTTTCTGCTGCCACACCACCAGACTGCAGAGCAGCTTGTTCCCCCAAACTATCAGACTCTTAAACTCTAATTCATCCTCAGCACTGCTCAATTGATTATAGTTTTATTTCTGTTTACCATTTTTATTATTGATTCTGTATAAATGTATATTGTCTGTTATGTAGCAAAAGGGAGTTACAAAACTCAATTTCACTCTTTAACCTGTTATATTTTGCCAATAAACCTACCTACCTTATCCACAAGAGTTGCAGAGCCTCTTCCGTTGAAACTAATTGTTTCTCTAAAGATCCTTCACCATACCAAGATAGAAGTTTAGGTTTAAAAATGTTTTCAGACCTTTGTGACAATAGTGGAAGTCAATCGGCTGACCTTAACCCAGCAGAGCATGCATTTCACCTCCTTAAGAGGAGACTGAAGGGAGAAACACCCCGAAACAAAGAAGAACTGTAAGAAGCTGCGGTAAAAGCCTGGAATAGCATCACAAATAAAGAATGCAACAGTTTGGTGATGTCGATAGGTCGCAGGCTTGAGGCAGTTATTGCAAGCAAGGGTTCTGCCACCAAATATTAAATGTGATCTTAAACCCAAATGTCTTCAGTGAACAACAAAAACAGAAGGAATTTATCTTTCCAATACTTTTGGAGGGGACTGTAGCTTGTGGAAACACGAACAAATTGAGCAAGAAAGTGTCATTTTAATTTCAGTCTGCAAATGCTATGACTCACTGATAAAGTGTATTTGTATAATTTTGTGTTGTTAATAAAAATAATTAAATCAAGGGGTCAACTACAATATTTACACATGCGTAGTACACATTCCAGCGGCAATAAGTATTGCGCATGTGCAGAACAGACCACACAGAAAGGGGGTGTGGCTACCAGTGGAGTTTTCTCCCATTAGCCAAGGGAAGCCAGGCTTCCCCTGTTTTTATCAGACTCATCATTTTAATAATAAAATAAATCTTAAGGTGT